CGCGGTGTGCCCTGAGCTCCCCTGCGCCGCTGTGGGGCCGGGTAGGGAGCGCGGGTCTTGAGCTGTGCGTGGCCCCCCTCCCCGTGTGTGTGTGTGTGTGCGTGCGTATGTAAGGTCGGGGCCGCCCCTGCTCCTACCCGTGTGCTGCGTCTGGAGCTGGGCCTCTCCCTGACTTCCCCAACCTGTTTGTTGCCACTCTCTCACTCTGTTAAAGCTCCTTGCCCTCTCTGTATGCCAGCTGGTTTGGATTTTGTGTGGTTTTTGTTTCGCAGGTGTGTAGCAACACTGTCCAAGCCATGATCGAGGTGTTGGCCAAGCTGGGCCGTGGGCCCGTCTTCCTGGCGGGGGAGGTGCTGGAGTGCGTGATTACTTTCACCAACCCATTATCAGCCTCGTCCACCTCTGCCAGCAGGTACAGCAGCCTGTGCCACTGGGCCCTTCTGTTCGTGGAGCCTCAAAGTGGCAGAGCTGTCTGGGTCTCTCTGTAAGGAACACCCCTCCCTCCCTCCTGAGCAGCCACAGGTAGTCATGGCTGGGCTGCAGGGCAGCGCTGCCAGCTCAGCCACTGGTGACTTCCTTGCCCAACGTGCTTTGCGCCATCACTATTTCAGGGCTAGAAGTTGAGGTGATTGTTCTGGTTCTCTGCCCCCAAGAAAGAGATGTGAAAAAAATGTGTGTGGTTAGAGGTACTCTTAACTGCCTCTCAGGCAAGCCCTCAGCGACAGGGTTACTGGCTGAAAATGAAGCCAAACTGGCTGTCAGAGCAGGATATCTAGTTACACCAGGGTGACAGTCTCCCAGGGCAAGATCCAGACAACATCATTATTTACTACATGTATGGAAGGAGCTCTTTGTCCAGCAGCTCACTGACATACTAGTGTGAGCTGAGTCTCCGGAGCTGAAAGGCAAAGGGGTAGGCACTGCCTAGAGTCAGAAAGAACCAACCTTCCATGGCCCATTTCTTCAATTTTCTGTGGCCCAGGCTTTGAGCGCTGCATCTTCCCTTATCATTACTGTGCCCAAGATAGGTATTAAGGAAACACAAGAGTATGGGAGCTTCCTATATTGGCTCACAGTGGGTGACTCCACATCCTCAGGAGTCACCCAAAGCCTTCATGTCCGCTGAGTGTGTGGCCTTGTGTGATTCTCCAGGGGGTGGAGGGTGCTTTCTCATCCTGAGGTCTTCCTGGGAAGCATCCATTTCCAGCCCTGTCCTGTTCAGCAGCTGTTCACCACCAGCACACATTTCACACGTGATTGCTTTGGTGGACCCACTTCCAGTGGTTGCAGTCTCAGGAGCAGCAAAGCTGTCTCGTATTACTGCTGTAGGGCTTTTTTTGGTGTATTGCCTTCCTTAACTTTCTGTGATTTCTTTGTGGTTCCTCTTGCCTGCTGAATTCAGCTTTCAAATTCAGCTGTGGCATAAACATCTAGCTTTCTGGAGTTTTGTCTTGTGAAGTGGCAGTGCTCTTTTTCCCAGTCCTGAGACATGCAGCACTGCAGTGGTACCAGGTGCAGCAGTTTTGGAGGTTGTCAGCACAGCTGACGGGTGCTCCAGGCATGTCATGGTCTATAGAAAATCTCCTCTTGGAAAAAGGAAAGGTTTTAAAATAATAAAGCAGGTGACCAAACTGATAAGACCTGGCTAAGCCATGCGAGTGGCAACACTGAATAGATTAGTGGTGTGGAAATTGGAGCTGCGTGTTGCATAAAGGCACAGTCACTGCAACAGGCAGATAGACCTGTCAGGGACCAGACGATTTTGGGGCTGGCAGAAGCTGCAGTGCCGGTGGGGGGGTGGCAAGGTGCATGTGTGGGGGCAGAATGGAAGGACTGGCAGAAAATGGGAGAAGGTGAATTTGTGGCATACAAGGCGTACAAGAAACAAAGCCCTTCTGCCCAAAGGTTGCGTGGCCCATAGCCCGTGTGGGCTACAGGATTTGTAGGGGAGTTGAGAGCATAGAATAAGCAACCTCAGCACCAGCATGGGATGATTCCATGCCCTGCCAGTTGGACAAGCCAGGTCTGCCAGCAGGAAGACACATGCAAATTTTGTTTGGGTGTCTGGTCAAAAAAAAAAAAAAAAGAGAACAATACAGTGGCATATTGTTAGGCAATACTGAAAAAAAAAAGAGATTAAAAAAAAAATTCAAAATACCATGTTTGAAGGTACTGTAACCATGCAAAGCTTATATAAAATTAGTCAACACAGTCTCTCAAGCAAGGGCATTTCTCTCTTCCCTTGCAGCAGATGCCTTACAACAGAAAACCTTGGGTCAGCTTACAAAACAAGCCACGCTGGTACTTTTGAAGATGCAGAATTAAAGTTGTGGGGTTATAGGTAACTGAGTAGAGTCACCAACATGTCCTTGGGTAAAGTTAGCCAGCACAAACAAAAGATCAAATAGCTCATTGCTAGTCAGCTGAATCGAATGCATCACACCTTTTTCTCTGGTTTGTCTAGATGTGTAGCTGCTCTGATGTGTCATGTCGAGAGAGACCCACAAAAAATCCCTGTGCTGCCCAAAACTGGTGTCAGTGCTGACTAATCAGATCATGATGTCAGAAAATATGAGGGGGACCATACAATGGCTAAATTAATGAGACTGCTACTGAAATAAGACGTGAGTGTTTTGGAAACTGAAAGGTGTCAGTGATGCCATGGAAAGTGCCCTGTGGAATGGCTGGGGCTGTAGCAGAGTACAAAACAGGAGGCTGTTTTTCATGCTGGATGCAACCAATTCTTGTGGTGGTGCAGAGAGTGGATAAAGTGACACCTTTGCCTTCACTGTAGCCATCAACAGATCCCTTGCATAAGAAGGAGAAAACATCTCCTTATGAAGGACCCAGAAGAGTCCTTCTTTAGACTAACACAGCCAGAAATTGATGGTCTTGAGGAGGACAGTGCTGTGGGGAGGGGGCAGGGGCAGCTGAGCCCAGGTTCCAGATATGTGTTGCTTTTGAATTTGCCCACTTCCCTGGTGTTTGCTTTATTACCAGAGGCACCTCGGAGTGCTGTTTGGCATGACACATCTGGCTTGGGACTTAGGTCTTTGTGGCTAAAAGTCCTCTGCCAGGCCTGGCCCATGCATGACAGTGAGAGGAGGCTTCTCAGGAGTGTAGTGTGTGTCTGGTCCCAGGCTGTGGGTGATAAGAAAAATACCAAAGGCTTGTTTGGAGGGGGGCTGTGCAAGTGGCTTCAGTGACAGCAAAGTGAGCTCTTCTTTCCTCCAGGCAAGCAGTCCTGCATGGAGCTGAGCAGAAAGAGCTGCCCTTCTCCTCTTTCATGCTTGCTGTAATCCAAGTTTAAAGTGCAGACATGAGGGTTGCTCTTCTTTGCTCTCAGTGAGATGCTGGCGTGGGCCAGCGCCCAGATCCACTGCCAGTTTCACGCCAGTGAGAACCGGGTGGCGCTCCCTCCTTCTGACGGCAGCAAGCACGACGTGCAGGCGGAGAACGAGACTGTCTTCGTCCCCAACAGAGGTGAGTGCTGCTCCTGTAGCCCCAGTCAGGCACTATGGGAGCACAGAGAGCAGGAATCAAGCAGACTATGATATCTGTCTTGAGGGTAGCATGCGTAGAAGGCCAGTGGGAGGTCCGTGTTGCTTTCCTCATGTAACTCCCTGGTTACTGCAGGACCTTGTGAATACTGAGATTAGTGTGGCACTAGCTTGGGTGGAAACATGAGGGTTGTCTGTCTGGCTGTTGTGGGAATGTCTCCTGATCTGACCAGGACATGAGGTGTTTACTCCTCAGCCTCTTCTCCAGGTGAGGATAAGGCCTGGATGGCCTGGGCATGGTCTGAGGCTGGGCAGCATTCACATGGTTCGTCTTCTTTTCCAGGAGAGCGGGGTCAGTGTATCCTGTCCACCCCACCAAAGATTCTCTTCTGTGACTTGCGACTGGATCCCGGGGAGTCCAAGTCCTGTGAGTCGTGTCTCTTCTTCACCTGCTCAGGGAGCTTGCCTTTGGGGAGCCTCGCTCTCCAAGCTGGCTTTGCAGAACTGGGTGCTGCAGGCAGTGCAGAAGAAGGCAGCTGCTGCTGGCAGGAGGCGAGGTGTTTTGGTGGGACCATGAGGGCCAAGGAGCTGCTGCATTGTATGTTCTCCACCCTGTGAGGGCTGTGTACTGCAGTGTGTCCTTCAGTCCTGCCCCTGACCCGTCTCCTTTGCCACAGGTCCACTGTGTAGCTGCAAGGCATAAAACAACTCGAAATACCGGGCTGCAGCTGAAGGAGCAGTAGCATATACCTGTGTTTCCCTGCCTTCACTTCTTCAGCCACACTGGAGCATGACTGCCAGTAGGCTGGCATTCTCCAAAGGTCCGAGCTTCCTCTTCAGGTTGTGGCTGTCCTGGAGACTGCAGTCTTCTGGCTGTCCTAGTTTTCCTGCCATAAAAGTGGGCACTTCTCATCTCTGCCCAAAGCTCTCCACATCTCCAAAGCCCTGGAACGGTGTCCTTCCATTGGGTCCCCTTTAAGCTCTCCTTCATCACTACTTTCCATTTTGCTGTTAGGTAGATTTTCATCCTTTTCATAAGGAAGTTGCAGCACCTCATTTTTGGTGTTCCAGGCAGCCTCTTCTGCCTGTGAAAATACAAGTACATGCTGTTGTCTCTTGGTTGGTGGCAGCTTGACCCAGCCTGTCACTTCATGTTGGATCTCCTTTGTGTTCCAGCAGCCTGTGGCCCAGCAGCACTGTAACGTTCAGGATTGCAGGCTGCGTGTGGAGAGCTCCCTCGGGTTGTCCTAGGGACCTGCTGGGAATGGTTGAGGGAGACCTCCAGTCACAGAGCAGAGGGAGCAGATAGGGTAGTGCCTGTGGTCGAGGGGGCTCCGCTGGAGCATTGAACTGTGGGGAGGTGAGAGCACGGCTGCGAGCGAGACCCGGGAGCTGCAGGCTGCCATGTGGTGGGTTTGAAGTTGGCATCTCCTGCCTGTCTGGGCTTGGAGGGGCCTTACTGGAGGGTAGGGTGGACAGGGTGAAACCAGCCTGGCTTGGCTAGGTGGTTAGCAGGGTGGAGCAGTGCTGTCTGGGGCTGTCTTCTAAACTGCAGAGCCTTTTGCGTGGGCACATCTAGTTATGTCCTTGCTGTGTGTGAGGGAAAGGAGTTGGTGGCCCTGCCGCATGGGATCCAGGGTCCCTTGTGCTTTCTGAAAGTGGCCATGCCAGGGAGGAGGAGGGGAAGGAGGAGGAGGCAGAAGTCTCCGCTGGCCAGAGGCTCACCTGGGTTCTCCTTCACTCCCTGCTGCTCACAAGTGTGGGGCTGGAGCATCTGTTCCCAGGGAGGTGGGGAAAGCCCCTTTTCCTGGCACGCTTTGGCAGGTGCGGCAGGCGCTGAGGGAGCAGGTCGGTGACTGCAGTCCAACCTCCAGGTGGCGGGGGTGGTTTGAGAGGGTTCCCTTGTGTGCTGGCTTTGCAGGCAGAAGCTGTTGAGACCCCAACATGCCAGCCCCTGCTCTGCCAGGCCGCTCACATCAGTCCTGTCCACCCGTGGTGCTGCTCCTCTCGCACGAGACTGCAGCTGGCACGCTTGCAGATCATTCCTGGGGGCTCCTGCCAGCTCTGTGGAAGCAGAGTTCAGGCTGTGTGGGTGTGTATCTTAATTCCTCATTTCCTGTTTTTCTGAAGTTTTGAGTTTTGCTGCACAGTTTGGAAAGGCAAAAAAAAAAACCCAAAGAAATCTTTATTCTGCTTCGGCAAAGTACTGTGTTATTAAACTGTAGCAGAGCTGGCACATATAGCTGAGGTTGTGTCAAGCTGTCTCTTGATAAAAAGCCTTTTTTTCAGCTGCCAACGAGTTTATTCTCCAATATCTTCCTTGTTACAGTGCCTATATGTTGGAAGTTGACTCACTTCCCATCCCTTTGACACACTGCCCAGACTGAGCTCTTTAAATTTGTCACCATAAAGCATCTTCTCAAGCCCTCAAGTCATTTCTATGGCTGTTTTTGCCTCCTCTCCGGTTTTGTAATACCTTTAAGTATTTGGTAGATCACACAAAGGGGAGGAAATAGAAGCAGCCTGAACACAAGCTGGGAGCCCAGCCAGAGGGCACAGCGGGTGGGTGAGGAAGGCACCTATAGCACCAGGAATGTGCTTCCTGCTGGGATATGCATGGAACTGGCACTTCCCGAATCTCAGCATTCCTGTGCCAGGTAGCAAACCGATAGTCCTCCTTGGATGGTGGTGGTCTCTGCTGAGGTTATCCTCACTGGGCATGGAGGTCTTTGTGAGCACTCATGTTAAACCTGCTACAGGGGGTTACAGCAGTGTGCCTCCTTTGGAAATAACCAGTTTTCCTCGTGTCAGGACAGTTAGCCTTATCTGCACCCCAATCCATCAGGACAGCCGTGTGCTTCAAGATGGGGCAGCCCGTGGACACTACACACTAGTACGGGCTTCTCTCTTCCTTCCAGTCCTGGTATTTTAAGTCTAGAAGTTATATTTAAAATGTAACCCTAGATTTTAATCTAAGCCTCGATGTTTAGGATGTGCCAGATGTGGGCTAGGGTCTGTGGTTTCACAGCAGGATGCTGCCCTTCCCCTGGCAGGGCGTATCTGCATTACGGTGGGCAAGCCAAAGGGGAGGAGACTTTCCACAGCTCACTGTCTGCACCTCTCTTGTTACGCAGCGTGCGGTTTGTGGAAGCTGCAGGAGTGTTCACGCTGCGTGGCGAAGCATTGGGGTGGGCGTGGTGGCCAGGGGGGTTAGAGAGGGCTGAATGTGGTGTAAAGCCAGGCCACAGCTTCCCGGAGATCTTGGAGTCAGAGGCTTTGTAGTCATCAGCCTGTCAAGGGGGATACACCACAGGCTGTTGTTGCGAAGGTCTCTTGATTGTTCCTCAGCCCTTTAAACCCAGTGCTACAGAGGAAAAACACAGGAAGAAGCTGATGTTTGTTGCCGAGTTTGGGGTCTGTGTGAAGTGAACATCAAAAGAGCTGTGACATATTGATGGGCACCTCTCTGCTGAAAAGTGAAAGTGTGGCTGCCTCGCAAAGCGGCGTGCGGGGGCAACGCGCAGGGGCAGCTCAGGTTGAACTCGTGACGAGCAAGTTTAGCTCTCATGTGTTTGTGTTCCTGGATTTTACATCTTTCACATTCTTTTGAGGCGGAGAGTGTGTGTGTGTGGTTGTATGGGCTGGAAGCAGCGTCTGGATAACAGTCCGTGTGACGTGAGGAGTGTTGAGCTGGCGCAAGGAGCCCAGGGTTGTGCTTGGCCTGCTGCAGGAAGGAGAAGATAGCAGAAAGCACCAGGTGCTGTCCTGGCTCAGCACCACTGCTGGTTCTAACCCTTGGTGCAGGGAGCCTGCAAGCAACAGCTGCAGGAACTTCCTTTCAGCCTTGGAAAGCCAACTTTCTTGTGCTCCTTGCAGATTCGTACTGCGAGACGCTGCCGATAGACGGCCCTCCCTCCTTCCGGGGGCAGTCGGTGAAGTACGTGTACAAGCTGACCGTCGGCTGCCAGCGTGTCAACTCCCCCATCAAGCTCCTGCGTGTCCCCTTCCGTGTCCTCGTGCTGCACGGTGAGGCCACGCACCGCCCTGTCTGTTCCTGCAGACACAGGCCTGCACACACCCTGCCCCAACAACACCTTTGCCTTTTCGCCAGGGCTCAAGGATTATGAGTTCCCACAGGATGAGGCCGTTGCACCCTCAAACCCCTTCCTGGAGGAGGAGGAGGGCTTGAAGAAGGACTCTCGCCTGGCAGACCTGGCGACGGAACTGCTCATGGTGGCCACCTCCCGACGCAGCCTGCGTAGGTTATATCTCCTGGTTACACCTGCTGTTGTCACCTGAGCGTGAGGCACAGCTCAGGGGTCCCTGCAAAAATCCCTCACTGGCAAAGCAAAGCTCCAGGTGGGACTGTGGAGCAGCTTCATCAAGGCCTGCTTGGGTCAGAGTTTCCGATGGGCTTCTCCTGACCAGTCTCAGGCGCTTCCTACTTCAGCCAGAGATACCCTCTCCACAGCACATCACAACCAGCACATGGTTTGCTCTTGTTCACTGTAGGCATTTCCCAAAGGGAATGCTGCCTTTAGGGACTATCCTTCACACCCAAGCAGCAGGTGTAGTGTTCTGTCTGCTGGGCTCTGAGGTGAACCCAGAGCACTGCCAGGAACTCAGCCTTGTTTTGCTGCAACCCTTCCCCTCCCTCTTCTTGCTTCACAGACGTGTATAACATCAGCAACACTCGTGGGAAGGTGGGGACCTTCTGCATCTTTAAGACCGTGTATAAGATCGGAGAGGATGTCATTGGGACCTTTAACTTCTCAGAAGGAGACATCCCATGTCTGCAGGTCAGTGCTGGCTTCAGGGTCACTGTGGGGAGAGGCAGGAGTTTTGGGTGAGGGAGAGGGAAGAGGGGTTGGTAGGCACTGGGCTGCTAGGGGGTGTCTACTGAGGGTTTCTAGTGGGACCCAGCAGAGGTCCCACTGGGGTGTGAGGTGGGGAAGGACTCCAGTTCTGAGCTCATTTGGGAAGCGGAGACCCCTGGGCTTTCTGTGTGAGTTGGTGAGAGCGAGCACCCTGC